TTATAATTTAATCAATGAACATTGTGAAAACTCTAATATAGGTCGCGACGATTTTTCAGTTTTTTTTAGGAAAAGTCACACAGTTTTTTTAGGCTCAAGTTTCCCTTTTGTACAGTTTGACGTATGATTTCTTTATAAGTTCAGTTCATTTCTTTTGTTAATAGGAACCGAACTTCACTATCGAACCGCAAAAGTTTCGAAATTTGTTTTTCAGTTTTTCCAGTGAAACAAACATATTACGTAGTGATCTAGTGATCCAGTTTTCTCAAATTTTTTTTATCAAAAGAAGTGTCAATCATAAATCGTTCTAGAAATTCAGAGAGCTTTCAGGGCATCTACTTAATCTTCGAAATTCGAAAGTTGAGATGTTTTTTCTTACAAAAAATAAGTCAGTATTTTTTTGTTTACTTGCGTTCATTGACGATTGGCTATATTATTGAGTTTGCGAACTTTCTTTTTATTATGAAGTGTTCAGCTGCTGATTTTTTAGCGAAACTGTCTTAAGACATTTTTCTTTTGTAGATAAAAAAGCATGAATTGTGACTTCTCTTAAAAATAAATAAAAATTATACGTTTATCTGATTTGAAACGTTTAAAAAGAAAGCAATCCAGTAAGCAAACTAGGTTTTAATTGTTAGCCTTTTAGCATGTTCATTTTGAAGGTTTTTAAAAAAGATTTTTGCATATATTTTTGTTTCGGAAGTGTTGCGAAGGCCAGCGTCGTCGCTGGGTTAAAAATTTCAATCCTAATGAAAATAATAGTAATAATTATCATCAAGACTATTTTTAGTTCAATGTTTTTAAATACATGAGAAATTAGTTAGTTACAAATTTTTGTAGTAATTAATTTGGAAGATTTTAGAAAGAACAGTTTTAGTTTCGTAGTTTCTAAGTCCTGGCAACTTTTTTTGAGTTTTCTTTGTATTGTATTCACTTCTTGTTGGTGGCGCGTTTTCCCTTAATTGTTTTTATCATAACTAGGACAAACTGTCCGGTTTGTGATTTTTAAACGGATTCCGCAGCAAGGACGCTACCTTCGTTCTTTTTTTTGTTCTTTCATTTTCTTTGATAGTTCCGATAAATTTTAACATATCTAAAGATCTGTATCTGGAATCCACGAACATTCACTCACAAAATTGTGCGCCTACCCAGTGCACAGTTTGGCGTGGTAATGATATTTTTTGCCGCTACTTTTGATCATTTTCTGCACTGGTGCAAATTAATTGATGAATAAAAATTAATTCACGATAATTTTTTTGTAGGTTTGTAATTTTGTCATTAGACCACACTCGTTACCATATTACTTCACGATAATTTTTTTTGTAGGTTCGTAATTTTGTCATTAGACCACACTCGTTACCATATGTTAATATAGGCATCACCGGCGTTTTTTTAGTAAGTCTACTGTTCATTTGGGTCAAATGCCAAAATCCCATTTACTGTTTTCGCCTAATCAAATAAAGTTGTCATGATATCCGTTTGCAGATTGAGAGAGGAAAAAAAACAAGAAGTATTGTTCTGCTTGTTTTTTTTTTCAATTACATTTGGCTCAAAACGACTGTAAATGTCAAAGCTATTTTTTGAAGTAGTTGTGAATTCGACATCAAAAAGTTTTTATTTGTTGAAATGCAAATCGGCATGTCAGAGGTAAAAGTTAAAATAGTATAAAATGGTTGCTTTGTCTGTTGTGACGTCTTAGTTGGTTAATTGGCGAGTAATGAGCCGACCTGTCTATTGATATTTGCTTTTTGACGTCATTGATTCCAACGGAGTTTCATCTGTGGCGAAAAATATAAATCTGAAAAGCATCAAATATTAGTATTAAAAGTTAATCACTGAAAAATAGACTTGAAACCTTCAAGTTTAGTTTTTGTTTTTGACCGGCTAGAAAATTCTGTGTGGGAATTTAGATGTCTCGATTGTCTTTTATTTTATGCGCGCCAAGATACAAAAGGCTTTAGGCAGGTTGTTGAAAATTTGAAATCTTCTGCCAATTATAGTTCAGCATATAATAGACAACAAAACAATTTTTCATTTTTTTCAGCGGTGAAAAAAATCTAAATTAATCAGTAGATAATTTTTTAATTTTTGAGCGAAGTAAATGTTCTCTTAAATAGACGATATGTCCATACGGGAAAGGACCAACACACGAGCAGTTCAGCTCTTCACGGAGAACCGCTGTTGTGCCCCTGGTTAAGATTTACATGCAATTTTTTTGGCTATTTTTCTGGGCTGGGTAATGTTGTCTTACCCTCAAGCAACGAGCACGGATCATGGTGGGCCTCGAACATCCGACCTTTCGATTGAGAGGCGGAGACCTAACCACTGTATTAAATAGGTTCGTGTAAATATGTCTTAGTTGGTCTCATTTAATACGTTCTGTTTTGACTTGACACGATATTTTTGGGCGGATAGGTTCGTGCAACTTATTAGTCCAATATAAAACGCATCGTGTCAGCATTGCTTATTGTAAAAAAACAGATCGAGGAAATCTTGCATTGCAAGAATTTGATGTGGGAGCTGTGTATTCTCTAATTTCTCTGTGAAGCTTTTAAAGCTTCACAGAAAAATTAGAGAGTACACTGCTCCCGCATCAAATTCTTGCAATGCAAGATTTCCTCGATCTGTTTTTTTAAAGGTTACTGAAAATATGATAGGTTTGTAGGCAATTTAGGTTTTCAGTTCTCTTTATTTTGTTTGTTAAAACAGCAAAAGTGAACATTAAAAGTGTAAAGGTTACGAAAACGGTCATTAGTTCTGAAATTGTTTTCAGCAATTTTTTTGGCTATTTTTCTGGGCTGGGTAATGTTGTCTTACCCTCAAGCAACGAGCACGGATCATGGTGGGCCTCGAACATCCGACCTTTCGATTGAGAGGCGGAGACCTAACCACTGTATTAAATAGGTTCGTGTAAATATGTCTTAGTTGGTCTCATTTAATACGTTCTGTTTTGACTTGACACGATATTTTTGGGCGGATAGGTTCGTGCAACTTATTAGTCCAATATAAAACGCATCGTGTCAGCATTGCTTATTGTAAAAAAACAGATCGAGGAAATCTTGCATTGCAAGAATTTGATGCGGGAGCTGTGTATTCTCTAATTTCTCTGTGAAGCTTTTAAAGCTTCACAGAAAAATTAGAGAGTACACTGCTCCCGCATCAAATTCTTGCAATGCAAGATTTCCTCGATCTGTTTTTTTAAAGGTTACTGAAAATATGATAGGTTTGTAGGCAATTTACGTTTTCAGTTCTCTTTATTTTGTTTGTTAAAACAGCAAAAGTGAACATTAAAAGTGTAAAGGTTACGAAAACGGTCATTAGTTCTGAAATTGTTTTCAGATTTTCCAGCGGAATTAAAAATTTACTTATTGATCCAGTTTTTTTTCAAATTGGAATATTTATGATCCAGTTTTTTCAAATTGGAATAATGTATCGCATAAATGCAAATCATTCATTGTTCTTGAAATTCAAAGAAGTTTGTTGAGGCCACAGAATTTTTGAAATTTCGAAAAAGCATGTCTGTATTCATTGAATTTCCTTGCGTCCGTTGGCTTTTTTAAACTTGCAATCGGAGAATGGCTGCTTACGAGTAATGAACGTAGTGAAGACTCACTATATGTAGGTCTTGGTGATTCCTGGTTTGAGGCTACATACTTTTTTCTTAAAAGTTCGAAAAAAAGTCTGCTCTCATTGAATTTCTTTGCGTTCTTTGTCTCGTTTTAAACTTGCAATCGTGACAATCGGAGAATGGCTGTTTAAGAGTAATGAACGTAGTGAAAACTCTTATATAGTTCTTGCTGATTTTTTTAAAAGTTTTTTTCAGGCAAATCTTAATGCTCTAATAACTACAGATATGCATTCATATTTATTAATCCATTTAGAAATGTTTTTAGGTATATATGCATTTTTGGAGTTCAATTGAAATTCATCTGTTGAAAGTGAAGTAAATAGCACCCTCCAAATACGAACGTAAAAATGGCGCGAAAAAACGTGAACGATTTCTAGTTTCGAAAGTGGAATTTAATTTTAAGATTTCCAGCGGAATAAAAACTTTACCTGTTGATCCAGTTTTCTTAAGTTGGGTTGATGCTCTCAAAAAACACGCTCTTCATAAAAAGTTTTAGAAAATCAATGAGCGTAAAGGGTATCTATTTTTTTCTTCGAAATTTGAGATTTTTTTCTATAAAGTCAGTGTTTTTTTTCCATTTACTTGCGTTCATTACTCTTTATCAACTGTCAGTTAGCTTTGTTTTCGATATTTTTAACTGGAGGCGCAGATTGTTTGACTGAAGTTCAAGTTGTTAAAGATTATTACGATATCAAAGACAGTTTTATAAACTACAGCGAAATGACGAAAAAAGAATACTAATTGAAAATGATTTTTAATTAACAAAGAGCTTGCAAGAAAAGCGTACAATTGCGTTCATTGAAAGCACCAAGGGCTTTAAAACGCTGTCAGTGCAGCGAAGTTTTGAGTTTCAAATCAATCAATAGAACTTTGTGCGTAGAAATATATTGGCCCTTATCTTTTTTGTCTTACCTGAATGTGGACGCCTATTTACATCATCCATCCAACAGCTATCAAAAATGATTGCGCATAAAGGTTTTCTTCATTCAAATATCGAAAATACTCTGAAAAAGAAAAGAGTAAATTGGAATACCAGATAAAAGGAATGTTCAAAATTCTGAGGTTGCGTTGAGGCATTTTCTACAATTTGTTTTCCGGATTATTTAACCTTCTGTTGCATTTCTTTTAATTTTCATTTACAAAAAGATTTGAAGGTTTTTCTTCAATTTTTGAATGTTTCTTTTTATTAAAAATCAAAATTTTTTCTTTTAATCGAGGGGCTCCAATTGAGTTTTTGAGTCAATCATAAAATATTTTTGGAATTCAAGTGGTCTTATGGGCAAATATTTTTAAGTTTTTTTCTGTTTTCTTGCGCCATGAATTTTTTCGATCTGTCTGTCGGCTATTTTAACTTGACTATTGTGTTGTTTAGGCTTTCTATTTCTGAACAATCTGTTCATCCAGCGTGGCAGAATAGAGACAACGTGGGCTATCTTGAGGAGCTTCGGCTACTCGGATGTGCTGGAAATAAGAGAAGACCTCATCCAGCCCAAGTGAGTTGTCAAGATTATTTGAAGATTCGCTGTACATAAGTAGCTGTCTGAGCCGACAGTTTCTGCCGATAGAATAAAACAACATTCTTTGAAAGATTTTTTCGATTTCATTTTATTGGCCGAAGCTGTCGGCTCAAATTACATACTCAATTAAATTATTTCCATTTTTTCATTGATTTTCTAATGAACCAGGTCTGAAAAAACTTTGAGTATTATTATTATTATTTTTTTTTAAAAGGGGAAAAGAATGTGAATTCAGACACATATAAAAAAAGTTTGAAATGGTAAAAATAAGCACCAGAGTCATATGAAAAGCAACATTTTAAATGGAGATTAAAACAGTTTGAACTTGTTTATCGCCGGAAGTCGGCGCCAATCGGGTCATCGACTTCCACCACCAGAGTCTCGCGGACACAAGCTGCAGTGCCCCGCTGAACAGCAATCCCAAGTCTCTGCCGCAGAAAAAGAGTCGCTCTGTCGTCCCCGGTAGCCTGTGTTATTCTCTTGCCCAGGCTAGTGACGAAACGCAGCGTATCGGTTCCCAGTCCTCCAAGGGTTTCAATTGCAACTGGTTGGAAGATGTGAGACTCAGATATTGATTCGTATTTTGACCGTTTACGGGTCTCGGCCGCATCTGCCACAGTTGGTCCCTCTTTACCAGCGAGTTGCGTGTAAGAGGAGGCTAGCCTATGGACACATGTAAAGTCCCATGCCAACGCTCGCCCATGTGACCATGGCACCAGTGTCAGTCCGTCGGGTCTCTCGCGGTCAGACTGGAATAGTCCTTGCGGCTCGAGTGTCGATGGAATATTGGCTTGGATGAACGCTCTATGAATGATGTGATTGCCCATAGAGTGTCTGGCATGAACTGATCTACTCTTCTTGCAAACTAACGCATGTTTGCCGTAGGAATCGACTATATCGCCACAAGAGCACTTGTGTGGTGTACAGACTGGTGCGCCAAGTCGAAATCCAATGGCAATGCGAAATTCATCATCACTAAGTTGGAGTGCGAGTGATCGTGAAGGTAGTGCGTTGAGCCAGTCAGCAGCTCCGGGACACATTAATCCATTCAAGCGGGCACTGTCTCCTGAATCCTTGAGCAGTTCGGCCTGTTGAAGCATCATTGGTAGTGACCACTTTTTTTGCTTATATTTGCGTTCTGGCAAAGGCACGTCGGTGCTCACGTTGTTTCGCCAACATTGGATAGCATCTTGAATTAGTGATTCTGTAGTGGGTTCGCTAGCATATATGGTATTACAAATGTCGAGAGTGCTGAATACAGATGACGCATATGCTGCAATGGCGAGTTTGGGTACCTGCATAATTCCCATTCCGCCCAGCTTGCAAGGCAGTGTCATGAGCTCCCATCGGGGATCGTCAATCATCACATTGAAAATAGCCTGCAATGTATTTCGAATGCACTCGTCAAATCGGTGTAAGGAAGTAGTTTTAAGGAAAAGAGTTGAGGTTCGCAGTATGTACATCAGTTTCGGGATATAAAAGCAGTTTTTTAAAAGAAAGAAAGCAACATGGGAAGGTAGGGATCGCAATCGACTGCACATTCGACTGAGTTCATCAAGTTTCTCATTAACAACGGCTTCTTGTGCGTTTTCGCCGATAGGAGCACCTAAGAGGACTATATCTGTGGGTTCAGTGATGGTAATATGAGGAAAAACCGCCAGGAAAGATTGGATAATCGAATCCCTCTCTCGTGCATCATCACAGAAAACGATGAGTTCGGACTTGTTTTTCAGGTTCAATTCGGAGGCTCATTTAGTATTATTTAGTTTTCAGTGTTTCAAAATTTTAATTATTTTTCAAGAGGTTTTTGTTCCGAAGATTGAAAATGAAAAGGAACTTTGTATTCGGGTGTGTTTTGTTTTTATTGGTTCCCCCACGCAAAATCAAGTACCACAAATAATCATCTGACTGAGTTGAGTGATATTAAGCCCTTTGAGTCGTGATTCGAACCACATTAAAAAATCCCAAGAAAGTTTTCTAGTGTTGTCAAAAACTGGTTTGAAGTTTTGATTTTTCGTTTAATTTCGAGCGACGATGGTCAGCGAATAGACTCATATATGTTTATTTTAAGCCGTTTACAGTAGCTTATTACCTTTGCGAAGCTAGTGTATTAGTACGAACCTTCTTTTTTTTCCAACCTTAGTCGTTAATATTGGTGCCACTTTTGAGGCACCTTTACAGATTTTTGATGGCATGTGCTTTGACGTACGAATAGTATAAAATAAACACAGTTGATGCTTTTTAATTCACCAAATGAACCGAAAAAAGCTATTTGTTTCAAACAACATCACAATAATAAAAACTCATTTTTAGAAATTTTTTAACTCAGTATATCTCGCAATTTTTTGAAATGCATAATTTATACAGAATGTGGTTTCATGCTTTGCGATTTGTTACATGCAAACTTAGTGTGAATCCATTCAGTTTGTTATATTCCAAATTTTTACTTGCAAAATTGAGTCTAATTGTATTTGCGGCCCTATTTTGCTTGGAAATTTATAAGCATATGTTGCTGCTTTTTTCGTGACTAGTGTTTGTTGGTTTTTAAGCCTGTGTGGCTAAGGGGGTATTGCGTGAGGTTCAAAATCTCTTGATTGCAGTAGTTCGCAGATTCTAATCCTACACGTAGACGAGTTTTTGCTAATTCGAGGCTTATTTCGTCTTTTTATTTCACTTGATAGAGCTGCTTTTTGGCCGTGTTCTCGCAAGTGTTTGCGAAGCGCAGCTTTGCTTCTGTGTTTTTGCTTAATTTTTGCACTCGTCTAAAATTATTTTTGAAGGAATTTTAATGCCATTTTGGGAATCAAAAACTTCAAAAAAATCAAAAAATTTCTACAAAAAAAAATGATTTTTTTTTGATTTTCTAGTCATTTTTTACACAAGCATAGCAAGAGAGAGTTTACACATTAGATATAGTATGAACTCTTTTTTTTTCAACATAAGATCACTCGCTAGCTATTAAGTACAGCCAATGCTCAGGATATTAACACAGACTATTATTTTACAAATAGCACTTTAGCTTAGAGGTAGCATGGATATGTAGCGTAGAGGTAGGGAAGGAGACCCGCAATAAATAAAGGGTTCGAACATTGGCAGGATCGAATGTTTTTATTGAATTTTTTCATATACTTGTTGAAATGAATCCGCTCTATAAATTGAGGCATGTTAGTTGGTAATTTTTTTTTTTTTCATATTGACTGACACTGCTAAGGCGTCATAATTGGCTTGCGTCATTTAGCAATAATGTAGACTCATAATTGGCGTGCGTCACTTAAGAAGGTTTGTAGACTCAAAGTTTTGCTCTTTCAGTTTTCCCAGTAGCGTTATCGGTCATTTTTTTGCTCGAGTATCCGAAGTGCAACTTCGCCTCTGTTTCAAATTTTTGTCTTGTAGTTTTTTAAAGGCTATGGTCATGAGCTACTTGCACAGCAACCGGCTATCCTTGTTTTTTCTGCAATTGTCTGTTGAAAACAATTTTTAGTAGTAGATTAATGTACTTAGCAGAAAAAGTTTTTACTGGATTTGGGAAAATATTTCTTTTTCATTTCTTAGAGTTTATCTCCGAAGTTTTACGTTGTTTTAATTATGTTGCTGTGTTTAGCTTCGACTTGAAGCTGGGATGTTCAGTGGAGCTGACTGGACTGGGGAGTGAGTTCATGGCTTCTCTGTTCCACAAACACGACCGAGACAGAGACGGGGCCCTGTCTCCCCACGAACTCATGGACCTGTTCGATGTATGTCCCCGCAACAACCCCTGGGGCATGGATGTGTTCCACAGTGTGACCACTAATAACAAGGGATGGATCGACCTCAACGGATTCCTCTGTCAGTGGAGGTCAGCTGCCATTCTATACCATACTATGCCCATCTGTCAAGTAGTTTATGGTCCATCCACCATCAATTATATATGAGAATTTGATCCGATTGAATACGATTCCATTCAGCCCCATGATTTTTCTCCGTCTTGCACCGATGCATGTACTGTATAATTTCCCATTACGCTTGTATGTTTTCAGTTTCAATTTGAGTATTGGAAACATGATAAGAAGGAAGAATCCGTAGCTCTTTGTTATACATGCTATTCAATCAAATGAATGATTTATAAATACATTAGTAACAATAAGGGGACGGATGAAGAATGTTATTATAATATTATTATGAATTCAGTTAATAGACGAATTCAGTTAATAGTTTGTTAGAAATCAAAAATGAATGAACAATTAGGAAAAATAATTGACTAATAGCATAGAATCAAATTCATCTTCACACGGATTTATAATAGAAGCATATAAAACACCTAAAAGCGCAGTAAAAATTACTGCAAATAAAAAGCGTAGTATGCAAATGTTAAGATTTTGAAATTCTTATGGAACAGCAACATTTCAAACCCCATAGGCCCGTAATACTGGGATCTGCAAAAAAATTTTTCTGAAAAATGTCCTATCGACTGTCTCATTACATTTAAGTTAATGTCTGAAAGTGTATTGAAATGTTTACCAATGTTTTTTGGCTGAAAAACAAATTTTCATTGTAAGATTTTTTTGTAGAGATTCTTTGGGAAGCTCCGAGTGAAATTGATTTTGTACAATACTGGAATTTAATGCAAATTTTCTTCTGCCAAGTGTCGATATAAATAAAAGATAGTCATGTGCTCTACTAATCGGTTTCAATCCAAAATTTAAAATTGTCAAGTCAACAGTTACTGCCCTTACTAGTAATAAGCCATATTAAAGTAGTAGAAAATCAAAAATACAAATTTGATACGTTCTTCCCTAAATGATATAGAAAAATCGCGAATTTTGTAAGCGACAAATATATACGCATTTCAGCAAACTAGTGAGTTCGAATGACTCTTTCAGTTAGTCATTTGTTTAAGTCCTCTGCTGCGGAGCCAAATATATCATTTTTATGTGGTAAATGTTAAATTACGAGTATCATTCCCTCACTTCTCGAATTTTCTCAGCTGCTGAATTAGAGAATTGATTTGTTGTTTGAGCCAATTGATTATTTCAAGTGATGAAATGAAGTAGTTTGTTTGTTTCATGGGATGTTGCAGCATGACAGCCTACCTGGACACCCCTAGATTTATAGAGTACCTGGCCTACTTCGGATACATGGAGTGCGACCACAACAACAACTCCACCGCCATCAGGGGTATACGGACACTGAATATATTTTATTCATCCAAACACCAGAACAGTTTGACAAATACGAACTGAATCGTCCAAATATTTTTAAATTGTTTTTTATACGTCCTTGACTTTCTATGATGGATATTATTGCAAAATGTGAAGGGTGCTTATTCATTGCATAATTGGAGCTGTCTTGTTTTAGTGACTCGATCGAAAGCAGAGGATCTGAAGTCTAGAGTGTGCACGCGCAACATGTTCCTCTGTCACGTGATTGGGCCGGAAGGGGCGGGGAAAAGCTCGTTCATGCAGGGTCTGTTGGGGAGGACTGTGAAGGAGTTGAGGAGGATGGACCACGTGAACGAATTGAGCAGATATGCGATCAACTGTCTAAACTACAAGGGACACAACAAGTACCTTCTGGTGAGAACACACACACACACACACACACACACACACACACACACTCCCGCCGAGAGAAACACACAGACCGATAATTGTTTTAAGACCGATCAGTTAATTGAATAATGCTTCATAAAGTTCTGATTAATGCAGTTTGAATTTTTGAACTGAAAAAGATTGGAATTAATGAGGGACTTTTACAATGAACGCGTTCCGGTAGCTTTTTCAAATCTTTCGTTCATTTAAGCAAATAGATATCGGGAGATTTTAAGTGCATCAAAGAACAAAATAGTTTCATCGCAACGCTTCAAATTCCCTGCGCTGTTTAGGAATTTTTTTCAGCACCAAAATTTTTTTAAAATAGTTTCGATTGAATTTAGGGGCACAGAGCATCGGTTCTCCGTTTGCATCTGAGCAGCTTTGATTTTTGTCCTTTTCATTGAGCACAAATGATTTTAAGATTCACTGGATAACTCCTTTCAAACAAGTTTTTCATCTTTTGGTCTGACTAGATTCTTAAGTAAGTTTCTGAAGTATCTTTGTCCTATGGCTAAAAATATGTTTCTATCTTTTTCACGTTCTTGTTTCAGTTGTATCGTTTTTGTGTAGATGCACGACTTTGACGTTGCTGAGAATGACATTTTGACAGACGAGGACTTAGATTGTGATGTGGTGGTGCTCATGTACGATGCAAGTGACTCTTACTCATTCGAAACAGTAGCTATACTGTACAGGAACCACTTCCTAAACCCAACCTGCCCTCCTATTGCCTCAAGTAGCCAACTCACATCCAGTAGACCATCAGTAGTCATGCCACCACCCAGAGTGCTAATATGCGGAGCAAAGTCAGACAGAGCTGAGGTACACTTATGAAATAGTCCCATGGTCTAATCTGCTGTTCAACTATTGCTGGCCGTTGTCAAAATCTCTTAGCATATTTTGCGATTGTTAATCAAGTGTAGCAAGATACTCATCGGTAGATATCGATATCATTGTAAAGTTAAGCAGATAAATGCGTAAAGATAAGGAAAAAAGTACCAAAACTTGCTGAGCAACATTGGTAGTTTTAAGGTTTCAGCAGGGGATGAAATAATCGACCAAGTTGTTCAATTCCCCGTCGTAAAACTCCTGTGTTTGTTTGTGATATCAGGTGAAGCAGCAGTTTGAGATGAGTCCGGCACAGTTCTGCAGAAGACACTTGCTGCCGCCCCCAGTTCTGGTATCCAGCTGGAGTGAGATCAAACCCCACGTATACCACACACTGCTCTCCCTCGCCATAAACCCGTTAGCAGCACAAAATATCACCTGCACCTGCTATTAAGGCAAACAACTCACTAGTACACTGTCACTTGACCTCTAGCTTCAGGTCAATCACAGTCTGACCGAATTAGGCTGCAAAAAAATTCCAGACGGAAAAAAACGGCATTGAGTCGCTCAAATTTTTTCAAGATATTGTTTTGGCTTCCCTGAGAGTTCCTTTTCACTTTCCAACCATCTTTTGGCTATGTTTTTATAAATGCGAACAGGGGCAGATCTAGGATTTTCTCGAGGGGGGCTTTTCAAAAAAAAATTGAAATTAGCTTCCTAAATCCGCCCCAGCTTGCAAAAGCTGGTGTTCGGGAACTAGACTTTTTCCCGTAAACAACTTTTCGTAGACATTGTCATCTTACTTTATTAGTGAATTTTAACATCTTCCAGGTTCCTTCACACTTGGCCTAGAGTTAACTACTGGCCGGGTGAACAACTAGTTTTACAGAATCACTTGAATCATATCAAATCGAAGTCAGACGTTATTTCGCGCCTGCGGCGAAGAGGTAACGCACTTGCCTATAAAGACAAAGGTCGGTTTTTAGAATCCGGCGAGGACATGTTTTTTTGTAAGCGGAAAGTTGTGCTTTTTTGTCGGCTTAATTGCCGCAGCACCAAATCTACCATAAGTTTGGGCATTTTTAATTCATGAGTAAATGATTTTTTCAATAATTATCCTGCCAATTCTGATATCAAGAGTTTAATGGAAACAGCAGGTTGTCGAAAACCTACCTGCATAAACGGTCACTCCTAATTATGTTTAGAATAAATGTGGTCTTCAAAAATCGCAGTTTTGACCGTTTTTTTGGAAATTTTTGACGTTTTTTTTGAAAAATACGCTGCGATTTCTCAGGTTTTTGAGTTTTGGAATGTCATGTTTTTTAACTTAGTCCATTTTATTACAAATGGCGAAATCGAACGGAATGATACGATCGATCCACCGGGTTAATCGACTAAACATTGTTTTATTTTTCTTGTTGTTTCCGTTAAGTAATGTAACAAGCGCTTTATGATCGGTTACTACCGTAAATGTCCTCCCGAATATTTAATTTCTAAAATATTCTGCCCCCATACTTCCGCCAGCATTTCCAATTCGTTCGTTGAGTACTTTTTCTCCGCCGTGTTTAGATATGTTGAGGCAAACGATATCGGCCGCCAGCCCTCGGGGCCTAGTTGCTCAAGAACCGCTCCTAGTCCATTATGGCTAGCATTGCAATACGAATGTCCTTGTGTACGTCGAAATGCTTAGTTCAACTATTTTTGAGGGCTTAGAACGCGAATTGGCACTCTGCCGACCATACGAAATCATTTTTTTTTGCGTAGCAACGGCCGGATAGGCGCTGACGTTTCCGCGAGTTCCGGCAAATATTTGTGGAGCCTGTGAATGGAGCCCATGAAAGATTTCATTTGAGACAGTGTTCGTGGTGGTTGCTAGTTATAAATCGGATCTGTTTTTCGAACTAGCGGAGTAATACCTGAGGAGGTTATTTTATGCCCCAACCACTCGCATTCTAATTTCGCAAAATCGCATTTCGGTAGCTTAAGCGCCATATTTTCTCGATCCATTTTTTTCAAAATTTTCTCGACAAAGCAATATGTTAAATTTCCGTAGCTTTTGAGAGTACCAGAATGTCGTCGATGAACGCATGAGCATTTGGAAATTCATTCAACATGGAGTCGGAGTCCATTACCCGTTAAAATTCCGCAGGCATCCGTTAAGTCCGTAAAACCGTCTTGAATCGATGCGTACCGGTGGATTTTCCAATCGAAAAACTGCAATGCTTGCCTTTTTCATGACTTAAAGGCAGTTCTCATATGCATATGTTAAGTAGTAAAATAGACCGTACCCGATTTTCGTTTGCTAATTGTTTGCCCTGTCGTATTCATTAGTTCCTCTATGGGCGGCATTTGGTACTTGTTTTTATGTACCTGCTTATTTAGCTCCCTTGATTCGAGTGCGAATTTAACCGACCCGTTTTTTTACTGTGATAACGATTATCAATACAAATAATTTATCCGAGCATTTCGATATGCCCTTGGCTCAGTAGTTTTTCATTTTCCTCATCGACTTCATCTTGAAGCGTGATCGGAACGCGTCTACCTTTCTTTTGCACCGGCATTAGTGCTTTGAAGAAATCGGCGTGTACATTATAGTTGCAGATGCGCCCTACCCTATTAAATAAATTCTAGAATTGTTTACTGAAATGCAGTTGCCATTCGACCAACTGCTTGTCCTGTTGTTGCTCCGTGACCTTGGATATTCATGACGTCTCCCGCGGCGGCTTCAACCAGTTGAAGACCCAGCTGTGGCATCAGATCCCGCCTTATAATTGACGATCTGCACCCCCCATCCTCCCGATCACCTTGACGTACGTTTCTGACGACCACCCATTTGATGTCAATGTCGCCTTCATCTTCCCCATGAATTTCAATGGATTGTTTCCGCAAACGCCGAACTTGTCTTCATTCGGCCCCAAAGGTAATACTTTGACACCCGCTTTCCCCAGCGTTTTCCTCAATTCGCCGATGGTGAAGATGGAAATTGGCGACCCACTATCAATCCACGCCGTCGTCATTTTTCCGTTGAGCTTCAATGGCAATTGCACCTCCGCTACTTTAAGTTTATGCTCCTTCTTCCGAATCGTTGTCATGCTCCGCAAATCGGTCATCCATGCCCGTCTCGCCGTGAATAAGTCCTACGCGTCCACGGTTTGCGCCTCTCTTCCAGCGGCATATCCGCTCGTAGTGTCCTGTCTTTTTGCAGTAGTTGCCTGTTTCGTTGCGGGCTGGACATTTTGAAATGTGGACCGTTGTAAATTTCACCTGGTCGTAATTAAAACAACGTCTCTCCGCCCCGCCTCTTGCGTTTCCCCGGAATGATCCCCTGGCACCCTGTTGAAATGGCCTTCAGAATCCCTCTCGGATAGAACTGATTGGTTCGGCCTTTCTTTGTAAGCCACCCCTGGCGCCGTTTTTAGTCCCCCACTGGTAACTTTGTAACTTTTAGCATACTTGTCTCCCCTTTGGTACGATAACGCAATCTTGTACAATTTGTCCGGTGTTTTTGTAGACCTGCGTAATTCCGTTTGTGCCTCCTTGTTAGTCATGTTTACTATAAGAAGTCCCGTAAGTTCCAGCGTGCCTAGATTGCATCTAGCCGCGAATCCACTTAGTGCAGAATGAAATTGTTCAAGGGACTCCCCTTCCCGCTGTTTTCGCGACTATATTTGGTAAGTTTCAAACGTCTCATTTCTCTTTTTCTTAAGGATTGCTTCGAGTTCATCCAGTATCCGAGGGTACCTGGTAGTAGCTAAATCCAAATGCGGTCTCCTGTTCTTTAGGTCGTCCTGACCACGTTCTCCCAGGCATAGATACAAGTTAGAAACTAGCGTTTGTTCCGCTTCCACCCGATTTTTTTTTTCAACACCTCCGATGGTAACCCCGTTATTTGCGCGGTCCTTAACGTTTTTGCAAAGTAGAACGACGTCGGGTTAAACGCGTGCTTATCTATTACGCCCCACGTGAATCGATTAATCCAATGTTCCCACAACATTGGAGGTTCCGCGCATTTGCTCGGGCAGAATGCCGTAATCCCCAACGGATTCTGTCCACCCCACCGTTCGCTGCTGGCTGCGCAATATTGAAAGCGATTCTCCAGTATAGTAAATTCCGTAATGAAATGAAGTTAGAACAGTCGATTTGATATATATGAACTCAGACGGTCAACTGTTCTAGCACCACTTGAGAGTCGCAACGCCGCTGGCAGGTATCAATTACTGACCATCAAGGTCACTGCCACAACGGACTATAAACTGAGTTAAATATGACACGGCCACAAACTACTGTTTGCAGAAAAAGTTTCGGAATGTCATGTTTTTTAACTTAGTCCGTTTTGTTACAAACTTTCTGACTTTTCTTAAAAACTAACCGCATTCAATCTGAGACGAAGGATATAATCAAAAGAATCGTTTGTCTGAATTTTTTAACAAACGCTGTGACTCCCAAGTTTTTTGTAAAAAAAATGTTATCTTGAAAAAATTCCAATATCTCAAAAATTTTCTTTCACTTTTTTTGAGTAGAGAAACAACTAAGGGGTTTTGGGCAAAATCCAAGTTTTGAAATCGCGCATTTCTTTCTGCATCAGTATAACAAATTCAAAAATACGAAACACGTACTTCTAGCATTAGCTGGGTCCCTAGTTATCTTATCGAAAGTTTTGGTTCGCTAAGTTTTTTTTTAACTTTTTTAAGTTTTTGAGCTCCGTTTCGCCTCTGTGTTTCAATTTTTGTTCTAATTTATTTGTTCAGCTTAGTTCCTATTTGAAGATTTCAAATACCCTTAATTATGCGCTTTATTAAAGCGCAATATTTCCGATAAGTTATGAATTATAGAGCGGCATTTTAATCATGAAATTAAATCCCCTAGTCTTCAAATAGTCTGTGTAGCTCTCATATGTGTATACACTCACGCTTTTACAGCGAAAAGGAGGCTTGAAATTTAAGCCTATTCCCTAAGTGCAACGCGGGCTATTGGTTTCAGTTGGGGGGTGGTCTCTTAGTGCAACAGGAGGAGGGGGGAATGATTGCAATTACATGTGTTGCTTTTTAGGCACAAGAGAAGGAAATACCACTACTATTACTACTCTTTCATTGACAGTTTCTGGGCCAAAACTACTGCAGCAATCACAGCGTCCACAGTTGGCGCCCTTGCCGCAGTGCTAATATATAGAAAGTACATCAGAACATAATTTCCCACAAAAATCAAACTTCGTAATATATAAATATATATTAGGCTCTTTTCAAAGTTCAGAGTCTGAACTTTGTTTTGCTGTCACACAATCAATTTTGAGTGGTTGTACGTTTCATGCCGAAATGATTAAAAAGGTGTTTTATTGCAAAAAAAATTGAATTTATCTGAAAATATTAATTTTCTTTATAAAAAAGAGTAACTTCTGAAAAGAGCCTAAGCCTGAAAAGAACAAAACTTTTGATTTGATTAGACTGCAGTGCGTTTTCCTTCCATATGTTGTAATGCATTCATGCTATGAGTTGAACTTGTATAACTTCGATAGAGAGATGAGACCGCACACTAAACTCAATTTTGGTACTTAATTGAATTGTTTATTTTGATACTTTTCCTCATTCATGAGTCTTCTTAGTTTGCTGAATTCGAGTTAACGCTATTTTGCTCTCTTGCTGCAAATATCAATCCAGACTGCCCTAGCAGTTTGAACATCGAATTTAAACTACCCTGGTTCCTGTGGAAGTAGCATAATCTTCTGTCAACGGTTTTTATAGCAAAGAAACACTTTCATCGCGAAAAGCACTATGGCGGTCGAAGTGTTTACAAGTTAATGTTTTACTGCTAGTAGATTAATCAATTATTTATTTTGTGCATAAATAGGAAATACAAAGAAATTCGTCCAGTAAATGAACTTATTTTAATCTGCTATCCGCTAAATAAATAATCTGAGGTGGGTATTATTATGATTATTATTACTAATGAGAATTTCACGGGAGAGTCCGTGAGGGTTCAGCGACTAAATTATCTGAGGTGGGTATTATTATGATTATTATTACTAATAAGAATTTCACGGGGGAGTCCGTGAGGGTTCAGCGACCCTCTGAGATGAAAGTTGGTAAGTTTCTTAATAATTTTCTGAAGTTGTACTGCACACAATCACAATGCGTTTTCCAAGTGCAGGTAAATCCTCATCAAAATATAGAGTGAAGTTATTCCAAAACCATCGAAGAAGGCCTTTCTTGAGAGAACCAATATCTGTAATGTCAACATAACTTGGTGCTTAATTAGCAAGTCGAGCATAGCTTCATCTTTGGGCGTTGTACCTGAAACAAACTAGAAGCAGCAGACCTTGTATTGAAAAGATTTTCCATGGGTGAATAACTGACCGCTTTAGCAGCAAAATCAAAATCGTAGGATCCATTCATTAGTTTGGATAAGTATAAAAGATCTAGCATTTGAAGATAATATAGTACTGGTAGAATGTTCAGTTTAATTAGGTCGTCTTTTTAATTGTTATGACCACTGATCCAATAACAAGTTCTTTTTTGAAAGGACTCCAATAAACGAGTGATGCTTGGGTAGAAGCACCAACTCGAATATGTGACAAAAGATAAAATCATACTTTTATAAAGGTTTAATTTTGTGCTCATGGAAAGTTTAGGAGAATTTCTTTTTTTAAAAAGAAAGGCAGGATTTGCTTTTTTGATACTTTCTGACATGTGAAGATCCCAAGAAAGGTCCTCGGTAATGTAAAGACCCAGCTGTTTGTGAAATATCAAATTAGTAATTGGAATGTTATTGAAATATAAATTATTTTGACTTTTTGATCTGAAATTAGAAAGCAACACTTAAAGGCATTGAAAGGCATTTTGTTCGTTACGCTCAAAGTATAAAGGCTCCAAGTGTAATTCTGCTTTAAGAAATTGTTCATGTAAGTTGAGGGTAATCAACTTTGCATCATCTGCACATAATAATGGTGAGCTGACAGTACACCGTCGAGATAAGTCATTGATGAATAATATAAACAACAAAGGCGCAAGAACTGACCCTTCAGGCACACAACACTCGTTACAACAATCAACTTCCACAAGTAATTTCCAACTTTGTTTGCGACCGCTAAGATAAGAATTTAAGAAGTTTAATAGCTCACCAAAATCAGACACCAAAATCAGAAAGCTTATGAAGTAAATTTCCATGGTCCACTGTCAAAAGCCTTCTCAAAGTCGGTATATAGAACATCTATCTCTTTCCCCTGTCGAATTCCTGAACGAATTTCATCTAAATAAACTAAAAGTTGAAGTGAACTGGAGCGTTTTTTCCTGAAACCAAACTGAGAATTTTAAAAAAGGGTTTGCAAAAATCATACAGCGATAAAAACAAACAACGCTTAAGTTTTTTTGAAGGTACTGATCGTAAAGAGACTGTTCGACACTTTTCTACTGTAATTTTGCTGCGCTTTTTATGTATTGGAAAAATTATTGAATATTTCCAGGTTTCAGGATATGTTGAAGATTGCTTAATTTTGTAAAATAATTGATATTATGAACGACAGGTTGTTTTTATCACATTTAGAGAATAAAAAAGGTGGAAGGTAATCCGGACCAATGGCTTTTTCAATAGCTAGGTTTAAACAAATATCCATAATCAAGGACTCGTCAATTAAAAAGTAATCTATAATTGGACTATTTGATATAGAATGATGGTTTATTTGATAATGAGGAGATTCGATATAGTTTTCTGCGAATAAAAATAGCAAATAACTCAGCCTTCTCGAGGTCAGTCGAGGCTTTCGCGCTGCGAAAGCGCAAGGTTCATGGTAGCAATGATTTATTTAGAGACCTATAATATTTAAACAAAGCATTTGTGTTTCTGCCATCCGCTAGGCGTTTCTCGTATTCAATCTTGTCATTTTGAACAGATCTTCGACAAACTAGAGATGATGCAAGACACTTGGAATGTTCAGCACCAAATTTTTGAGAGGTTGTTTGACGTCGCTTGAGTAAATTCGAAGTCTCAGAAGTTACCCAGGGAGGAAGTGAACGTCTGTGTTTTGTTCTGATAGGAATGGTTTCTCTCAGTTTTTCATTCAACCAATGATACCATTGTTCAATGAGAAATGCTACATTAGACCAGCAAAATGGTTGAAAAACGGATTGATTAATGATGTAGCTTAATTTTTCATAATCCCCATTACAATAGCTAAAATAAAAATCGCGGTCTAATTTCCGAATTAAAATTTTTATTAATGGATACTGTGGCTTCTATGGCAAAGTGGTCTGACATATCTAGATTCTGTAATGGCAAAACTTCTTCAATTTCAATATCTTTGGAAGTAATAAGTAAATCTAATGAGCTAATGTAATAAATTCGAGTAAAGATGATTCTGATTCAGTTTTTGAGGAATAAGTAGTCCAGTCGATCCCATGAAAATTGAAATCGGCTGTAAAAGATCAGGTGATCATCAGTCAATTTGCGGATAAAATTATGGATTGAATTAATTTTTTGTAAGGATATGTTGTAAGGACTGTCTGAAGGATATACATAAACGCATATGACAGTCAAAGATCAGGTACCAAGGTCTATTGTCGAAATACAACAAAAGTCCTTCAAGTCATCGCAGACTCTCGAGAGCAAGTGAGATGTTTAGTAACACAAATCATCACACCACCATGAGCTGATGCATCATTTTCCTTTGAAGGTCGATTAGATGTGTATATGTTGTAAGAAGGAAGGAATAATTATTCTTAAGAGAAGTTATCTGTTAGCCAAGTTTCTTGTAAACATAAAACATGATATGAAGCTGATGTTATAAATTTTGAGAACTTTTGACGTCTTTCAAGTCCTATCAGATTGCTAATGTGAGAAAAACATCGTATTTCTGTTACTGAGATCGAATGTTTGACAGGTAGTCACTTATCTACGTTAACTTTTACATTGTTTTGGAAAAGTTCCAAATTACGAAGTTTTATTGATTATGGATCAGCACCTGCATCCAACAAATCACGTCTTTTTTGCAATAATTTTCGTTCAAATTCTTGTTGTTTTTTATTAAGTGACCGTGAGATGAACACCGAATATTTTTTTATTGAAACACTCCCTTGAATGATTGCAGCATGGAAGACAGCGCGAGCATTTTTGATGCAATAAAATCGTTTTTCAATTTAATCAATACAGATCATGGACGGCTTGAATTTTCTTTGAATTTACCCAGTCTATTATAACAAACAATATCTGATGCTTCCAGACCGATGTGATTCAAGATTCCGTTTATAGAGTTTTCTTCGTGGGTGATAATGTTCATTCGACTAGCCTTTTGGCTCTGATTTGAGGGTGTAGTTTCAGGGATACCCGAAATACGATTTTCACTACTTGTTGAATCTACAAAAGACGGAGCAGTTCGTGCTGCGTCGCTATATTTCATTCGAATGGGGGACACCGCAGAAAATTCAACCACAGATTCTTGGAGGGATGAAATAGTATTTTTAAAAGAAGTTAACTTAGCTTCGTTTAATGGAGGAGTGCAACCTTTTGCAAGGCAGTCAATAGCAACCTCTCGTTGAATCGTTCCCAAGCAGTCATTGCAAAAAAGGAGAAGATGCAAGTTATTTCCTTGATTCCATTTATTGCATTTTCAGATAATCCTGTAAATTGCTTTGTAAGATGCATGGTGTTACCACACGTGACACAGTGGAAGATATTTTTACCATTTGTAATCGATTTCTGACATGAAGTACAGAAAACTCTCGAGTCATTTGATTTCCTGACCTTTGATAAACTTTCGCTGGACTCATCTTGTCCAGCGCCAACTATTTTTAATATGAAAACAAACTATTTAATAAGTTTTTCGATGCAATTCACAAGTACCAAAAAAAAATCAATCGCGTCAGTACAAAAAATATTCAATTGGTCAAAGATTACTAAGCCGACTATTTTGAGCTCTTGGTTTAAGGTCGCCGGTGGGCTCGCTACGCGCGCGTCGCCGCTTTGCGGCGATAACCGGCTTTAATTTTTGTATAGAGTCCTACCCTCTGTTGGCAAAAGCTCGCAACACGTTGGCGCGACTGCGGCGATCACTATTCTGCTGCTAAGTTTTTTTACTGTTTGAACTGTAGAAATTTAATGTAATAATTCGTTGGCTCACAATTCGACCAATCAGAAAACGAGTTGAATAGTTTTGGTACAAATGGGAGCGATTTTATATTTTTGGTTCAAATGAACGTTGGGACAAATGGGACTTCACCTTATCTGAGGTGATCACGAATAAAATCGCATATTTTTTTCTCTGATAATCGAAAGTTAAGTTTTTAAAATATTTTCAAAACTACACTGCCAAATAAATTAC